AAAAAAAAAAGGTGTACACCCATGTGAGATTGTCGAGCCTAGAAGTACTGTAGTATTGAAGTATTGAAACACGTGAAAAATGAAATGATTTTCCCCGGTGTACAGAAGCCGACCACCAGAATATTGTCAGAACAGAGAGAAATGCGTGGGACCCACCATGTGATTAAAAAAATAAAAAATACGCGGGAGTCACCAATGTGTGTCTTTGGTGAATTTCTAGTAAATCATTTCTTTACATCCAGCATAGTTCAAAATGAAATACTTTGTGTTGAACTTATCTTTAACTTTTGATGAGCCAGATATGATTGTTGAACTTTAAATTTGTTGAGTGTAATATCATAGGTCTTGAGTTATAATAATAAAAAAATGAATCACGATCTCAATGTCTCATCGACTATGATTCTTGCGGTCTCACACAACTCATAATTGAATTAATTTAAGATATTTATATGACCCCAAAATAGTCAATTAGAACATGACGTGCCGTCCAATTTGAAAATTGAAAATCCAATTGACTTGTAATCTACTCAAACTAGAAAGTAATTACAACCAACAAGATATGGGTAATTATTCTTGGCGAGGCTCAAAGCCAGGCCCAAAAACAGGGCATCTATGTCGCGCTCCCTATTGGAGCCTGGCCCAATAGCAGGGTTTTAAAAAAATTGTCACTAACAATCAAAATTTTAGAAAGAGTAAAGCGTGATGAGATATGTAGGTCAAATCTTAAGCCTTACGAACCTAAGTGTACCTAAGTGTAGTAAGACCTTTTTTAAAATTCTTAATATTATTTTATTATTTTGGATCAATAAATAAATAGAAAAACGCATACATTGAAAACAAAAAATATAAATTTCAAAATGATAAATCTCATATCAATATTTTTTTCCCGTGAGCGAAGAAAGTTATATTCGTGGCCTGGGTTTGAGTTGGATACATTTTTTTGTTGGACTTCAAAAAGGAAAATACATTTGTCGAATAAAAAGACACACTCTTTTCTGCTTAGACAATTAATACAAAGTTGACCGTTTTTCCTCGTCTAGAAGTGAGGCAAGCATTTCCTCTGCGACTCGTGACTAGGCGAGCCTTTTAAAACACTGGTAGTGAAAAACCCCTTAGAAGCTATGGAGCCAATATGGAGGACACTCAATGTTGACCTATGATTTAATATAACTCCACTTGTTTTGATTACAATGAACAATACACTTATATTTCTAACAAATTTTGTTTCTTGAGTTTTTCATAAAAAATTCTTCTTAAACATTCAAAGTACCGAATCGTCATCTATTGAAAAACAAGCAATCAAATGAGACTCGAAAAGAACAAGAACTTTAAAGATTAAACTTTGGAAGTAGTTTATTGGAATTTA